AAGGTGGTCAAGTCAGAGTGAAAACTCGCACAATGAACAGCAGGAAAAGAGCCCTGCAAACACATAAGGACCTTGTGAAGACTGTGGCAATTTGCCAACTAGCTCGAATTCGGCCTCAAACTCAGACTTACTGCGCGTCAGAAGGTAAACGAGTCTGGCTCCGGCTTAGGCAGCTCAGGGCCAGAACTCAGTCTCCGCTTTTTGTCGATCTTCTGAAGGCACTTTGTGACACTCGCAAAGAAGATCAGGCGCACGAAGCATGGGCCAAGGAGAGGAATCCGGGCTGTCCTTCTTGGCCCCAAAGCCGAGATCGCAAGAGTCAAAGGGGTGAGCACGCAGATCTGCAGGAACCACCTCGTGAAGGTGTAGGCACTGTTTGCGATGAAGATCGTGGGGAGAAAAAGTACCCAGATAATTTGAGCCCGAGCCGCAAAAGCTCTTCTGTCCAAGGGAAGCACCGCAAACAAGCCCAGGCCTAGTGGGGCTTCCAAAGCTGACAGAACCGTCAGCAGCACCAGCCAGTCGTTGGAGACTCTGAGTTCTTCCCAGTGGCCGAGGAGAATAATCGGCGCAGATCCCCAGAAGAAAACGATGCTCGCGACCACGACGGTTCGGTTCCACATGGAAGCATCGCCCAAGGGGCCCGTGCGCTCTACGGTTGCATGCAGCTCACGGCTGAAGATGTTCATCGAACGCAAGACTGACACGGCCTCCTCCACCTCAGCCTCACGATTGCTTGCACGGATCTGCCCCCAAATGGCTTCCGCATCGGAGGAGGAGGAACAGGAAGCACTGTGACAGGCCGTGAAGCCGCGCTGAAGCTCCTCCACCTGTTTGGATGCCTGTAGAGAGTTCTGCCGGTCAATCTCGAGGGCAGTGGCTACACCTACGCAGAACAAGAAATCTCTGAGGGCGAACATTCCAAACGTCTCGTGGGCGATCGCTGAAGCAAAAGACACTCCCAAAGAAACTGCGGCACCCAGCACTGCAGCTTCATGGATTGCTGAGATTCGTCGGCCGCGTGATCCCAGCAAGGCCAAGGAGAGAATGGAAAAACCCATGCCCACAATCCGAGATACCGACCTAAAGATGCCAAGGTATACATCATCCAGAGCCTCCGCCGGGAGCAACAAGAACGCCGACATGCTTGCCACACAAACGCATGCACTGCGAAATCTTTGTGCCAAAGCCCCTGGAGCCAAAGCCCTTGCCGTGTTGATGGGCTTCTCCCAGGAATATGCCAAGAATGCTTCATATACACACCAAAGCCGCGAGTAGATGCTACATGTCTTATTCGACACGACGAGAACCTGAGTCGCAGATTGCATGGCTTGGGCGAATGGCGAGCTCTCAGGGCTCGCAATCAAATGTCCAATGTCCAGGTTCTGTGGGTTGGATAAGAAGCAAACGTAAGCACCGGCAGCATGCCGCGGCCAGCAGCTGACCACTTTGTCAACAAACTCGAAGATCCCCTCAGCCCAAGCGTGCGTGATGAATAAATCGCAGCGCAGCCCATCCGGATGCTTCATCAAAGCCCAGCTCACGCGCCCTGCGGCAGCCGTGACTGGCTTGATATATTGCTCATTTACCGTGTACATCGATGGTCCATGCCTCAAATCTGATGGATCAAACTTGTCCCGCTCCGTCGGCGTGATGCGGCCATCCTTGACAGCGTGCATCACCAGTCGTCTGAACTGCTTCAGGTCCTCCAAGCTGACGCACCAGTGGCTCATGGCAACACTTTCGTGCAGCCTGGGGCCGTCCAGCGTCACTGGTAAAGTCTCAACACTTGCATCGTTCGCTGTCTTCTTGGGCAACAAAGGCACACTGCAGTTAATGATGATGGTGGCCCACAAAATGCCCACTAGGCTTGCGGCAAGCAGGACCCCAACAGCTGTGAGGACTGCCTCCTGCTCCTGGCCGCAGTCAGAGACCCATCCGCTTTCACTGGGGCAACAACCGAATTCCACCCATGGAGTAAGAGCGCCACTAGAATAATTCAATCTCCGCACCACCTGGGCCTCGTAGCCTTCAGAGCAAGAACAAGCCTCAATGTAGCTTGTGCGCCGGCAGAGCGGCGCAGGGTCGCTGCAGTGATCCGCAGAAAAACCCTCACATCGCTCGCTGGCAACTCGAGTCGCCAAGGACAGCATCATTATCAGAGGCGACATGGCTGTCTCACTCAGCAGTTTCTATGCTGGCCAGATGTGAGACTCACCTTCTCGTCCGTACGAGCCATATATACCTAAGGACGATAAGGATCCCTATCCACATCAGGATGACGGATGCGGGGAAAAGGCCATATGCGAGCTCGCTGCGGGGAAAAGGCCATATGCGAGCTCGCTGTTTTAATTAGTTTATAGGCTTGGATTGCCAGGATTAAGACATTATGACACGCCCGCAGAGTACGCACCACTAAACACCAGAAAAAAAACTAAGCAAAACGAAAACAACTAAGCCCTGACCCTAAACTCTAAACCCTCTAGACTCTAGAGCCTATCCGCCATTCCCAATCCAAGAATGAGTACAAGCCTGCGAGCAGTTGGCGAAGGTGGGATCCGCACACCTCCCAAGAGAACACATGCTTTTATGTAGAGTTTCGGGCATGGGGCTTAGGGTGCTGTCTTGGCCCACACACAGACGAGGGTTGATGCAAATGAGGGGCCCTTCTGCTGTCCTCTCTTGCAAGATCTTCCATACTTCTGGTTTAGAACACCATGCAAAAAGCCCCGGGACGTAGGAACAGCGTGAGACCTGAACTGGCGAGAGCAAACGACATTGGATGTTGTTCGCGAAGTCACACAAGCACCAAAGACTCGAGCAAGGCAACCCACCCCCTGCAGGAGCCCTGCAAATCCCCTCTCGGCCTCCTGCAACGCTGCACGCCGCTGCAGCACCAAGATGAGCTTGGGCAACCCCTCGGCACTCAATCACTTAGGGCACTCGAAAAAAATGCACTCACTGCAAAGCACTAGTACCGAAAATGCCGCACAGCCCCCCAGCCACCCTCCCAGCCGGCCTTCCAGCCAGTTCAAGACATCTCAAATCTCCCAAAGTCCATTTCGCCATGCTTCTCCAAACCGTGCCACACTAAACAGCACTGAGGGGCCCGACGAAGACCACATAAAGCTCCTACTACCAGCGCCCTGAGCATGTGCCTGCTTCTCAAGCTTGACTGCTGCTCTTTGCCCTTGCAAAAAAAAACAACAAGTCAAGCTTGTGAAAACGAATGAAAACCACAGTCAAAGATTGAGAGATTTTGTGACTGCTTCAAACAACCCAAGAACCAACAACACTTTGCCGCTTTGCCTTTCTGTCCTGTCAATCAACTTTCTGCTTTCCAAGGCAAAGGCAAATGCAGACACAAACCAAAACCTCCGTCTCCATCACTCCAACTGCCTCCATTCCAACAAAAACGCCTTTTCCCCCTTTCCTACAAGGCCGTCGCCTTCAACATTCTCCGGTTGTGCCAAGGATGGAAGACTGGTGTTGCGGTTGACCACAAGCACGACGGCAGGTGACAACGTTGCTAAGACTTGACAGACCTGTGCCAATCCAAACTGCAGACAAGAGATTAAAATCAACGTAAGTCCAACTGCCTTCCTTCACGAGAAGCTGTCTGCCCTCAACACTGAATTTCTGTTGGCCATTTTGGAACATTAAAGACAAGAGAAAGCAATCGAAGCTTTGTCAAAAAAGTCGAATGGAATGAAAATCAAGGCGTCGTTATGAGAGGTCAGTGATTGTTTTTTTGTTTTTTTTTAATGTCAAAACATTCGTTTTTCTTTTTTGAACTGAAGAATCGAGAAACACTGGAAAGAAGCCAGAGTTGCAAAAATCAGACAGTTTTCTTCATTCACACACAGCACTTTTTTTTCAATTTAAATTGTCCGTCGCCCGTCTGAAAAAATTTTTTGCTTTTGTTCAATGTTTTCTTTGTTTTTTTGTGGAGTAATCTCTCGGTTTAAGTTCCAAGCTTTGGAGAGAGATTTTTAAGAAACTGAACACAAACAGATTGTTTGGCAAGTGTTTTGGTGACAAAGTGGGTTGGTTTGCGGGTGCATGTCCAGTGTGTGGGTAAAGAAGGACATAGAGTCTTGGAACCTTGCGTGGTGTCTGCTGTTTCAAACTTCTCAGAAAGTCCAAATGGCCAGAATCTTTGCCAGAATTCTGCAGCAAGGCCCAGAAGTAACTGGGTCTAGCACTGTGCTGTTCCGCACAAGTGTGGTTACGGCCTTCCGGCTCACGGGTCCTCAGCGGCGCTTTTGGCTGTTCCTGTCGTCTCATCGTGCTACTTCAAGTTTGGCACCTTCCAACTTTGGAATTTGCAGGACTCTTTCAGGATTTGCATGGTTCTGGACGTTTTTTTTCGCACTTTTCACAGGTTTCTTTGGTAGTTGCCATTAAATCATCACCTTTTAACTTATCACAAGTGTAAAGTAGTCTTCCAGCGGGCTTCAGGACAAACAAAATTCTGAAATGTGGAAGTATTAATTTGACAAGTGCTCGAATTATGTGCTTCTACAGGCCGGAGTGCAAGCTGCATTCTGAAATATTTTTCATAAGGTGCTACAGTGGAAGTCTTTGGTGCTCAGGCACTCCAGGGTAGAAGCGGTGGCAGCGCAGCAGCTTGGGCGCTGTTGTCACCGTGCAGAATAAAACCGGAAGTAAAACCATGCAAAATGAATCACTGTGCATTGTAGATTCTTTGGTTCCTTGATTGTATGGCACGGGTTACGGTTACAGGGTATTACGGTAAATTGCAGGAAGCTGTCTGCAGGGGCTGCCGAAGTGCATTGGCATGCGAGAAGCGGCCAAGATCCGACATACAATGGCATTGATTTGGCTGCTGGGTGATCTAAGGACGTTTCTTTCAAAGCATTCTTGAACCACCCCCCTTCCTTCCCGGCTGCTGGCTCAAAGTGACGTGCTGCGGACTAAGTCTTAAACCCTGTACTCAAAGAAGGACCCTAACTTGGAGAACCGACCCATAGACATCCATGTCCGAGATGGTGGCGATGCAAGGACACGCGGGAAGTGGAGGCTTGATTTTCCCTCAGCCTTGGGATGGGTAAGTACCCCGAACGAGCCGCCCAACACTTTGGGAAACACCTCCAAGCCTTAACCCCTAAACCCGAAACCCTAAACCCTAAACCCTAAACCATAAACCCCAAACCCTAAACCCTAAGCCCCAAGCCCTAAACCTCCAATAGCAATGTTTTGTTGTGGTGATCATCGCGTGCGCGCTCCAAGCACCCCGTGCGTATAAGGGTATAAGGGTATCAGGGTATATGGGTATATGGGTATAAGGGTATAAGGGTATAAGGGTATAAGGGTATAAGGGCATGGTTCAGGGTTTGGGTTTTAGAGGTTAGCGTTCTTTCATGGTTACGGGGTTCTTGTCCACGGATTCGGGGCCTTTGTGGCTTTGATGTTGGATGTAGGGTGTAGGGCAGGTCTTGGAAAGGGTTCAAGTTTCTTGTTGGTATTCCTACTCTGCACCTGTTGCTCGTCTGCGGTATGTCTTCCCATCACAAAGAGCAGAATTGCAAGCGACGGAGAACTTGAGGGCTTATGCGCTTCCCCCACAACAAGTTCGACATCTCTGTCAGACATAGGGCGGGTTCACTTCATCTTGGGGGTAGAACAGCCGGCTGTCCTCCTGGTACCTTCACGTATCGTGTCCATGCGGTTCTACGGCTCGACGAAGCGTAAACCCGGAATCCCAAACCCTCAGGCCCAAACCCGAAACCCCAAAAGCCTCAGACCCAAGCCCCAAGCCTTAAACCCTAAACACTAAACCCTAAACCCCAAACCCCAAACCCTAAACCCTAAACCCTAAACCCCAAAGCTCACAAGGACCTTGCAAGAAACTGACGTGGAAGCCAGGAGCCGGAGGTGTTGCAGAGGTTCGGCTGACAGGGCTGATTCGGTATTATTTTAGGGTTTAGGGTTTAGGGTTTAGGGTTTAGGGTTTAGGGTTTAGGGTTTAGGGTTTAGGGTTTAGGGTTTAGGGTTTAGGGTTTAGGGTTTCTTGTTCATATTTTACATTATTATGTACGAAATCTTATTTGCTGGAGTATGTTAAATCGGAAACAAAAGGGGTTGCCAAATAATACGTAAAGGTCCATGCCACATAAAACTATATATACCATTACATGATTATATTCTTACATTCTGCAGTTGTTAACTGTACATTTACCGTATGATATTATTATATTATGGGGTTCCGAAAATTAAGGAACCAATTTTGTGGGTTCTGTCTACAGGGGATTATACTAAAATTTGGGGTATGTAGGGGTACCCAGCTTTTGGGAATTACCCACATATTCTAGTACATGATTGTATTCTCACATTCTTGTAATTTTGCGTTTATTGCACATTTGTATTGTTTTCTCCCGTACTTCTACATCAGGCCCTACACCCCAAAACCCACCCAAAACTTGGGATGTTCCCTTCATACTAACAGTCCTTAATAGGGACTGTAGACCTTAAACCCTATATAAACCCTAAACCCTAAACCCTAAACCCTAAACCCTAAACCCTAAACCCTAAACCCTAAACCCTAAACCCTAAACCCTAAACCCTAAACCCTAAACCCTAAACGCTAAATCCTACACTAACCAAAACTCTTAGCGGACGCCGCAAATTTATAGTACCGGCCGCAGGGGCTCCGACGCTGCGCGCTTTGCTGCCTGAGCTGGCCGGAGCGATCCGCAGAGGTTTAGGGTTTAGGGTTTAGGGTTTAGGGTCTAGGGTTTAGGGTTTAGGGGTTTAGGGTTTAGGGTTTAGGGCTTAGGGTTTAGGGGTCTAGGGTGTTGAGGTTTAGGGTTGAGGGTTTAGGGTAGAGAGACCCCGGCTGCACCTTGAACCTTAAACCCTCAACCCTCAAAGGGGTTTTAGAGGTTTTGGGCTGCGGGTTCCTAAACGTTCCAACTCAAAACGTTCCAACTGAACCCCACACTCTTAGAGATCTCGCGGGGTCGAGACGGAGGGGGCTTGGGCTCAGGTTTCGGGTTTTGGGTGTTTTGGGTTCGTGGGTGTGGGAGAGTTTGGGAGTGGGGTGGGATCATTGTGCGGGTTTGGGACCGATGTAGATGAGACTTGCAAGAGACAATCTACCCCTAAACCCACAACCCTAAACCCTAAGCTTTAAGCCCCAAAGCCTAAACCCCTAAACCCTGAACCCTAAACCCCAAACCCTAAACCCTAAACCCTAAACCCTAAACCCGAAACCCTGAATCCGAAACCCTAAACCCTAAATCCTAAACCCTAAAGCCAAATTACAAGTGTTGAGCCTTTGGCCCTGATAAGCCCTACCCGCCCGAAGCCCCAGAATCTGAAGCCCCAAGCCCAGAAGACCCCATAACCTACATCCCCAAAGCTTAAACCCTAAACCCTGGACCCTCAAACCCTAAGCCCTAAGCCCTAAGCCCTAAGCCCTAAGCCCTAAACCCTAAACCCTAAACCCTCAACCCTCAACCCTCAACCCTCAACCCTCAACCCCAAACCCTAAACCCTCATCAGCCCTCAACCCGAAACCCCAAGCCTTTCAACCTCAGAGCCTTCCTTTTTTCCGGGCCAACTTCTGCAGGAGCAGCTCTGCTGCCCTTGGCCCGCGGAGGCAGTGGGTTTCGGGTTTGGGGGCTTAAAAGGGGTTCAGGGTTTACGGAAGGGGCTCTGGGTTTAACCGTTTCGTGGTTGAGCGACTCTGGGTTTAGGGTCTAGAGCTGTCCAAGGTCTAGGAGTTTGGGGGTTTAGGGGTTTAGGGGTTTAGGGGTTTAGGGCTCAGGGTTGGGTTCAGGGTGAAAGGTGTAGGGTTGGGGTTTAATTTAGGTTCAACTTAGAAGGTGTTCCCCCCCCTCTGCACCACCCCACCCCAAGGTTGTGAGGGTCCCTCAAAACCCGAAACCCTGAACCACCCTAAACCCTAAACCCTAAACCCTAAACCCTAAATCCTAAACCCTAAACCGAGCTGTCACAGGAGCAAGAGCAGTTTGCGCCGCCCTCCCAGTTGCCGGCGCTATGCTTCTTGGACGGTTTGGGTTCAAGGGGTTAAAGGGTTTAGGGTTTAGGCTTTAGGGTTCAGGGTTTAGGGGGGCTTTTGGGGTTTCAAGGTGTCGATGCTTCATATACGACCAGTTCTCCGGTTTGTGGCCTCTTCTTGAGAGGACCCGACGTGCAAGTGGCTGCTGCTTGTCAGTTTACCATTATGATTATATGAATTACACTACAGTATATCATTTATCAACTACATCATATCATACAAAATATGTACTACATAAACAAACAGTAGATGATGCGTAAAGTATTGTAGAAGGCCTGAGGGGTCTAGAGTTCTGCAGTCGCAACACAGGTACCAGTAGACACTTTCTGTCCTACAGAGGCGCCCTCATGGATCATTCCTTGGGATGTTCCCCCTGGTACTGCCAGTCCTTAGCAGGGATTCTACTAGCGGGTTCTGTAGTCCCTCTTAAGGACCGTAGGTACAAGGGGGAACATCCCAAATCATTCCTCTTGTTGAGATTCAAGAGCATCCGTCTTTTGAGTTTGAGCCTTTTGTTGAAGGCGCTGTGAACAGCCCATGATTCCTAAACCCTGGCAAGGCTTACCACGCCTTACACACTAAACCCGAAACCCTTCGAGTGGACTGTTTCGGGTTTAGGGATGTAGGGGTTCAGGGTTTCAGGGGCTTAGGGGTTTAGGGGTTTAGGCGGTTCAGAGGTTTAGGCGCTTAGGCGTTCATTCTTCGCGCAAGGTTTGCCCTGCGATCAGCTGGTCCGACGGCGGCCAAGTGCGCAGGACATTCCCAGCGGGGCCGGCCTTCGAGCGTATGTGTGTGTTGAAGGTTGAGGATTTAGGGTTTAGAGTTTAGGGTTTAGGGTGTGGGTTGAGGTCTGGGGAATTCTTGGCTGTAGCCTGGTGCTAACTAGCTGAACCGAACTGAACCCTTCCGAGGACGTCAGCCGGAAAGCCCTAGAAAGAAGGGTTGTCATCTTCGATGTTGCTTTGTCTCTGGCTTAGGGGGCTTTACAGCAGGGGCTTGTGGACTTGGCTCAAGTTGGCGCTCGACCCCTAGCTGTTAAGATTCACGGGTGTAGGGAAGAGTCAGGCGTCCTAGCTGCTATGGGAAACGGTGCTTCAGCAGCGGCGGGTGTGGCGGCCGCTGCCGGCAAGATGGATGAGAAGGAGTTGAGCGCCGTGGTCGCGGCCTTGGACAAGGAGACGGCCGACAAGCTTCGCAAAGCTCTCGGAGGTGGGCCCTAAACCCGAAACCCGAAACCCGAAACCCGAAACCCTAAACCCTAAACCCTAAACCCGAAACCCTAAACCCTAAACCCGAAACCCGAAACCCTAAACCCGAAACCCGGAGCCTTAGACTTTAAAGCCTTCCGAGGTGGTGGTTCATCTCTCCCCGAGCACATGAAGTGTGCCATCTGGCTTTGGGATGCTGCCACGACCAAGGCCGAGCTGCTCAACAAATGTGATCTTGAAGGAAACTTGCTTTGCCATTAGGGTTTAGGGTTTAGGGTTTATAGGGTTTAGGGTTTAGGGCTTAGTTGACCTTTAAGCTTTTTTGGGTTTCCTTAGTTATAGTAGGAATCATAAAGTTTTTTTCATATTTTTTCCCTTGCTTGTTGGAGAAGTAAGGAAAAGTTCCAGATGCCACCGGCAAGGACATTCTGACGCGCAGCGCCAAGTTTGAGAAGGACTCGGACCAGGACAAGGTCGACAGCATGGTGAAGAAAGTGTGCCTTCAGTTCCTTCAAGACCAGTGTGCCACAGAGAAGCCGTATCTTAGGGGTTCTTGAGAATGGTTTTTCTATCTTTGGGTACTGTAACTCCTATCAAACAGCTATTATTATTGTTTTTGCTAGGTTTCCAAGGTCAGTATAGGTATGAGCCGCCAGCCGAGCATAAGAGACGTTGTGCCTGGACATGGGACATCCCCACCGTGGAGGAATTCCTCGGCGAGCTCGACATCAAGTCACTTGTGCTGTTGGTTTCAGTGGGGAATGAGGGAATTCGGGGCCCCATATATACCCTTTAAGGGATTTTTACGAGGGAATTCGGGGCCCTATAGATACCCTTTAAGGGATTCGATATACCTGCAGCAAGGTCAGCAGCCATGGGGGGGAAGTTCATGCTGACGGACGGACAAGTCAACTTCACGTCGTCAGAGCAGGAGAAAGTAAAGGACGCTCTTGGTAACGTTGGCCGCATGCTGATGCAAGACATAGCGTTCTCGGCGTGATCCGGTTGCTGAGAACGTCGTCCCTGAGCCATAATTCACGTGGCGTGTCGTGTGTTCCTGTCGAAACATAGACGGGAAGCACACAGTTCAGACTTGACCAATCGCACTGTGCCTGCTCAGCCTGCTGAGAAAGCAATGTTTCGTGGAGTGTGGCCCGGAGCTGCTCTTTTTACGAGGTTTCGGCATCTTACCGAAGCTGACTACCGAGATGACGTAAAGAGTCTTCCCACCTGTTCGCCCTGTAACCCTAAACCACAAGCCCTAAAACCCAAAACCCAAAACCCTAAACCCTAGACCCTAAACCCGGGACCCTAAACCCTAAACCCTAAACCCTAAACCCTAAACCCTAAACCCTAAACCCTAAACCCTGTTCCTTGAGGAGACTGGCCTCTCCGTGCTCGCCCGAGGAGGGGCGGCCGCCCTCGGCGCGGCTGCAGCACACCTTAGCGACGGGGAACAGGTGTGCTGTGGTGAAGTTTGGGTTTTGGGTTTAGGGTTTAGGGTTTAGGGTTTAGGGTTTAGGGCTCAGGGTTTTGTTGTTGAGGATTTAGGGGTTAGGGCTTGAAGGGCTTTTTGGCATGAGAGTTGAGGGCCCTGGGGATGCAGGTCTTTGGTTATCGGAGGTGTTTAGGGTTTAGGGTTTAGGGTTTAGGGTTTAGGGTTTAGGGTTTCCGCGACCTGTCCGAGTCTGATCAATAAGTTTGCTTCGATCGCAAGCACCAGCCGGGAATTTAGAGGCGTTTGGGTGCGAGATACTTGGAGGCTCATGGTACTTACTAACTTACTAGCCAATTACATCTGTGCTTATAACCCACTTATAAGCCCCTTAAGTGCCCTAATCTGTCTATCAGCAAAGTTATAGTTGGGCTAGTAAGTACCTCCAAGTAGCGGCTGCAGGTGGGGTTGTTGAGTTTTTTTTTTTTTTTGGGGGGGGGGGGGGGTTAGGCTTTAGGGTTTAGGGGGGGGGGGGGGGGGGGGGGGGGGGGGCATTCTGGTTTTAGGGGGCAGTTCTCGGCATTTCGGGTCTAGGTTTCAGCAATGTTGTAGGCTTTCAGGATCTGGGACCCAGGGGCAACTCTACACTTTCTGCTCCATGAAGCACCACGAGCCGCCACGAGACATCGCAAAAAGAGCCTACCCCCAGCACCCGAAAACCCTAACACCCTAACACCCTAAAACCCTAGCACCCTGAAACCCTAGCACCCTGAAACTCTAAAAGCCTAAACCCTAAAACCCCAAAGTCTGAAGCCCGAATACCCCAAAACCGGAACATCCTACAAACCCCAGCGCTCTAAAACCCTGCAACCCCAAACCTCGGAACCGAACTCTCAACCTTCACCCTAAACCCTAAACCCTAAAACCTAAACCCTAAACCCTAAGCCCTAAACCCTAAACCCTAAACCCTAAACCCTAAACCCTAAACCTCCCTGCCCTTGCAGGAGTTCCAGTCGGTGCTCAGCCAGAAAGTCTTCGACCTGGGTGAAGGCTCACAAGGGTTTAGGGGTTTAGGGGTTTAGGGGTTTAGGGGTTTAGGGGTTTAGGGGTTTAGGGGTTTAGGGGTTTAGGGGTTTAGGGGTTTAGGGGTTTAGGGGTTCTAGGGTTTAGGGGTTTAGGGGTTTAGGGGTTTAAGGGTTCTAGGGTTTAGGGTTTAGGTTTAGGGCCCTAAGTCCGCAGCCTTAAGCCCTTAAACGCCCCCCGAAGCCCTTGGGGGTCAGACTGAGAGTAGCTATCTTATTCTTCTTTTTAAGCATTGGGCAGATGCGATATTCTCACATTCTTCATGCCGCATAGATAAATACAAAAAAATATCATATATGTACATTGTATGTTAAAGGATTATGGTTTGAGGGCTTGAAGTTTCAAGAAAGGCCTCTCGAGCTTGCGGGGGGGGGGGGGGGGTCCAGGGTACTACAGCAGCCCACATCTTTCAATCAACATTTGGGGGGGGTTTTGGGTTTAGGGTTTAGGGTTTAGGGTTTGGGGTTTGGGGTTTAGGGTTTAGGCTTTAGGGGTTAGGGTTTAGGGGTCCTTTAAAGCCCGATTAAAGACGGTCCAAACTACGGGAAATGCCTATTCTCATTTCAACAGGCCCCCACGTTAATTCTTGAAACCCCAAGTCAAGAAATCAGGGCTCCAGAGGCCCCTTAGGACCGTAGGCAGAGGCTCTTTAGTTAGAGGCCCCAGAGAGTAGGAATTCACTTTCGATGCTACACTTTGTTTGGCTCAAGGTAAAAAGGCCCGCTAGATGCCCTTTAGCTTAAAGTTAAGGGTCGCGGCCGGGGTTGATCCCAGTGGGGTTCCCCCTCCTTTGTTTCCCCCTAGGGTGTTCCACGCATACTTAAGTGGTTATCACGCCGTAGCTCTGTGGGCCCGTAGATCCACCCCGGCCTTTCTAGGTTAGGGTTCAGCCCTGCTCGAGAGTGCTGCCCCGCGCGCGCTGAGCAAAGGGCATAGGAACGCCCCGGTGGTAGCGCATGGAAGAACAGCACCACCGGGGAACCCGCGGAGGAAGCAAGGCCCGGAAGAAGAACTTCTACCGTGGCCAAGACCTGGTGCGTAAGCTTGCGTGGAAGCAGCACTACGCCGAGATCGACCGCCTGGACTTTGAGGAGAACGTCGACGACATCCTCCCGGGTATAATCGAGCGGTTCGAGCAGGAGTACGAAGCTGGGTGGTTGAGCCGCGACTCTGAGATTTGGGCGGAGTTAGCGGTCTACTACCCACCGCTCCGCGGCGTGCGCCAGGCACAAAGGGCCGGGATCGGGCCAGAAGATCCCGTGCCTAAGCCAAAACCAAAGGCGAAGGCAAAGGCGAAGGCGAAAGCGAAAGCGAAGTCGGACCCAAAGGCGAAGGCTGCAGCTGTGGCGCAGCAGGATCCACAAGAGCCAGCGGCCACTTCCTCAGAGGGTGCTGCTGCTCCAAGCGCACCGGTCGCAGAAGTGGCCCCTGTGCTTGACGCGGATCCTGCTGTGCCCCAGCCAGCTGAGGCGCCTCCGACGGTGGACGAACCCGACGCCGCTGTAGCTGCGCACGAAGACTCACAGCCGATTTCGGTCGACTACGACCCGGACGACGTTGAGGAGGAGATCGTGCTAGCTGAGGATTTGGTCGACGCGGGACACGTCAAGGCCGAGCCCGCGCCAGAAGAAGACAAGCCTTCTTCCCCTGATCCTCTCGTAGGTGTCGAGGGTGCTGCCCAAGGCGCACCTAAGGAAGAGGTTCACCTAGGTGCCGAGGTCAAAGGCGAGCAAGAGGTTGAGGAAGAAGGTTGCCACCAGTCAGCGGGGGAGGACCTGGAGGAGGAGCCACGAGAAGAAGACGCGCCCGTTGAGGTCGCAGACGCGTCCTCCAGCGCAGCAAGGTCCAGGACCCCTCCGCCGCGTATCTCCAATAGGCAGCCCTTAATCCTTACCCCCGCCAACTCAGCCTTCCCTACTATAAGGGTCGATTCCCAGGGTGTGTGGGAACGCAGATCTGGCCCCAGATCGGTCCCTGTGTTTGTGGCTCCACCAAGGGAGCTGCCACAAGGCGCTCCGTTTCATCTGGGATACACTTCGGCCTACGACCTCCCTGACGAGGCGTGGCTCGATCCAGGTGCGTACCAGCAATCGCACTCAAGCCCTGGACAGCCAAGGGGTGTTCCTGCATATAGCCTCTCCGTTTGGGACGACGCTCCGGGCGAGGGTGCTGCTACAAGCGCATCAAGCCGAGGTCGTGGTAGGTCCTTTAGTGTACCGCCCACAAAAGCGGCTCGTTTGGCTGTTGGGCGTTCGCGGCCAAGGACAGGTGTTGAAGAGGCACCAACCTACGACGGCCCGGCACCCTCACGCCCGGAACACAAGGCGTCAGGCGCACTGCGGCGGGTGGTCACCTCAAACGCCAAAACCACCCCGGCGGCGCCTAGCAATCCCCCGCCAAGCAAGGCGAGGCCGTTGCGCATTGCGCGGCAGCCTACCACTGTCCAGCTAAGGCCAAGGCACGCACGCTTTGAGCCCTCGGACGTGGTCTTGCCAGACTTAGAGGCTCCAAGGCAGTACAAAAGGCAGGTGTCAAAGCCAAAGGGTGCTGCCGCCTCTGAGGCGCACCAGGCTTCTTCTTCTAAGGCAGTGGCACACGTGGTTCAGGGTGCAGCCGAACCAATTCCCGCACCCATGACACCACCGAAGGCGCACCAACCACCGCCGCCGCCGCTGCCGAAGAGCGCAGCCGAGCCAATTCCGGCGCCCGTGACGCCGCCAAAAGGGTCAGCTTCGGCTCCCGTGACACCGCCAAAAGAGCACCAGCCACCGCCGCCGCCATTGCCAAAGCCGCCTCAGACGCCACCTCCCCCACCGCTGCCGCCAACCAGAGGTCGCACAGAAACTCGAGACGACAGCTCTGTGGGCAAGGAGGGGCGGACCATCCAACAGAAGCAAAGGCCTGCTTCAGCAAGAGCACGTCTCCACGAGGCGCCGAATCCGACACCTCCAGCCCTCAGCGTCCCATATAAGGTGCCTCCGGCCGACCGCGACGGCATAGTCTTCAAGTCGCCTCCGGAGGGGCCAGGGACCTCGACGCCAAAGGCAGCGACACCCAAGGGTGCTGCTGCGAGCGCACCGGTTTCCTACAAGGGTCCCCCAGGACCGGTGTTCCTTCGCGTCGTGGGCAAAGACGCGTACCCGGCCACAACAGTCAGGACAAAGGCTGCCCCGCTACACGCGCTTGGCGAGCATCAAAATAGAGCCGCCTATCATCGCTGGCAAGCGGAGGCAGCAGCTGGCGCCCCAACCTCATCAAGGGGGCAGCCTGAGCCTCTCTCCGCTCAGGAGGCTCAGTCTTCAAGACCGTTGTGGACGCTAATCCTAGATTGGCACGGCACGGTAGACCGGGATTGGCAGTCGAGTGTACAGAAATTTACTCCAGACTTCATTTCTGCCCTCCGCGACCTTGCCTCGGAGCACGGACCAATCAACGTGTGTCTGTTCTCCTTTTCCGGCAGAAACAAGGCCGAAGAGTACGCTCGTACGTGCCTAAGACCAGGTGCCAGGGAGCTGCGCAACGCGCTCCAGGATATAAGTCCCCGTTCCTCAGTCGACTACGCCCAGTGCTACGAGAGGACGGGAGACGGGGGCAAAGCCCAGGCACTCGTTTCTTTTAACCCAGCAGCATCCGTGGTGGTCGACGACAACTTTGATATCTGCACGGAGTGTCAAAAGGTAGGGCCTTGGGTCTACCGTGTGACATCCGGTAGCTGCACCGACATTCTCCGCAACTTGCACAGTGATATCATAGCTGCTGGGGGGAGGCACAACCTTCCATTGGCGCGTGCCCTGCAGCCACACGAACACGTCCGCGACTCAAAGTCGTGGCGGTGAGTTTCGTGCCCGCCCCACGTGCAGCGCCCGAGAGTGCTGCTCCCAAGCGCACCAAGGGGCAGCTTGGTTTAGTGGTGGTTTAAGGTGGGCTGTAGGGGGGTGCATAGAGTAAGGTTTAAAACCATTCCGTGTGCAGCGCTCCCAGAGAGTGCTGCCCTGGGCGCACTAGCCAACGGTTGGTTGGTTGGTTAGGTAGTGCCTGGTTTAGGGGTGGTCGCCTTCACAACTTTCTTTTGCGGTGCCCCAGGGTGCTGCCGAGCCACAGGCGCACCAAAAGGGCTTGGCTCTAGGTGTCAGCCTTTGGTTTAACAACTTTGCCCGTGCGAAGTCCGGGCCCAATCCGACACAAAGGTTTTGTTTGCACTGGGTGCTGCGTAAGCACACCGAAGCTCGCCCGCAGCAGCAAAAAGTGGTCTTTGTCGAGCGCAGGGTTTGGGTTAACCTCTAATCCCCTAAGTACTCTAGTTTAAGTTTCGGCTCAACTTCGGATCAAGTGGGCAGGTGAAGCCATGGCTAGGCCATCTGGCATCTCCCCACCATCTGATGGTCGCTCCAGATCCTCTCCGGATTCTTTTAGTGACCCAGAGTTACTTGCGGATAGTAGAGCCCTGGTCCCTGCGGCCTCGACAATTGTTCGTTCTGGAAACAGGCCTCCGCCACAAAACCCAAGAACCCCTTTAAGGCTTCGGGTAGCAGAGGACTCCTCGTCCTCAGGGGCCACCCCCGTCCCACAACGACGGGCTCCAGAACTCAGTGCCACACAAGCCACCTTCCTGGCAGGAGCCGCCATGCAGACAGCGCACCATGCGTCAGGCGTAGCGCTTCATGCCGCCAATGCTGCTCACAATGCGGCAGGGAGGGAACAGCTTGCTCAGCAGGCAGCGGCTGCAGCCGCGGAACGCGAGCATTTGGTGACGCAACAAGCGCGAGAAGTCATCAAGCAGATGTCAGTGCATACCGCCCAGAACGAGGAAGTTTTGCGTGCGCAAGCCCATGCCATAGCAAGTGCTGCTCAGAGCGCACTGTCTGATGCCCAGGTTCGTGAAGAGTCCTTAAGAGCACAGGCCCAGCAGGCCCTGCAACAAGCGGATGCCATGGCTCATCGACAGCTTGCCGAGGCCAGGGCAGAGG